AAGAATGTTCACTATGTCACTGGATGGCTGTTTAAATATTGTTGTCTCAAGACCTAACCATTGTTGTCTCAACAATGGTTGTCTCAAGACCTAACGGTTCTCCTGACAATAACGGTTTTTCCTGACACTAACCATTTTTCCTGACACCAACTAGGATAGTAGTAGTGGCATCTTAACTCGCGATTTATGCGAAATTATTGTTAAATAGGAGGGCTATTTGTCGAGTGGCAAGTGCGATGGGTAAGTCAATGTGAATCCAATTTCAGACTAATAACTGAATCGACGCCAGGTTCACTATACAATAACTTTAATAACCAAAAAGAAAGTGTATGATACAATAACTTAATACAATTGCTGTTATACGCAAGCACGAGCATATATACAACGATCCAATATCTATTTGATTAACTTCATGGGTTATATACGATCGCTAACTTAATATCTATGTCGAACGAAAAAGAGTTTACATAAAATGGACAAACATAATACCTCTTTTAGCGTCGTGTGGGTAGAGAGAGAGGTGTCTTCTTGATCCGAGTTGCTGGATGGCAACTGACAAATGACGATTCTTCGGATGCCCCTATGATCGGGTGCGAGTTCATTTTATTCTCCTAAGCGTGGGAGTAGAATCAGGTGATTTTGATTCAAGGTTAGGATGTGTCACTGGTCTGGCTAATACGGGGCGTAAAAATTTGACAATTCGGCTGGATTGTTAATACTTTCTTGCCAGGTGTTACGACTTTTTCTTACCATAAAAGGCAAATAAATTCAAAGTTCTTAGATGTTGTCAATGAGGTGTTCTCACTTATAAACTTACTCAGAACATCGTTAAAGATTGTTGATGTTGTAAGGATATTCGATCGTTTTTTATATATTGGATCAGAGGGCAACAGAAATGTCAGGTGGTGAGAAAACAAGTGGGTTTTTCTCCACTTCAAAATTAACTACGTATTACTTTAACTAATTAATCACCCCCGTGATCTCATAGTTCGCTTCAGGAGTTCGAATATAATTAATTGGGGCCTCCTGCCCCTATGATTTCAACATTGTGTCTCCTCTTTCACCAATCTTACACTGTTTTCCAGATTAAGAGAAGACGGGCAAAAGGACTACAGTGGGAATTTATTGGTCTATAATTTTTTCAAATTGCAGCCCAAAAGAAGAGTCGGTAGATCATTTTAAATCGTTATGTGCATTGCAAATTGACAAACATACATAACAGCACACATAAAAATAAAATAAAATTCCAATAAAGAAAGAAATATTAAATTTAAACACTCAGGCAAATATCAAGACCAGGAGATATTGAAAAAAATTGAGAATAATATGCAGGAAAATATTTTCAAATAGAGTAAGAAAAATTATTCCAAAAATATTAAAACAAGAGAAGATATGAGGAGAATGGAAATTAGGAATATTTGCTCGTTAGACAAATATTTAAAAGGGGAGACAGATATAAAGCAGAAAACATATTAGTTATCTGCCATATTATAAATACTTAAAGCGCCAGAAATGAGTATACAGTTCACTCTTATATAATGATATTTATTAAATTTTCCTGTACAGTATAATAATAAATCTATAAAAGTTAATTAACTAAGTACACTAATTAAAGTAGTTCTGGAAGTCTAATTAAAGAATGTTTACATTGTTGACTCTTATTGCAATTCGTACATGTCAGTTAATTGAATACTGACGCTATAGTCCTGAAACAATAGCAAAAGTGGACGTTACCTACATGTAGTTGCATGGAGTTAAGAACGATTGTATAATTAACTGTAAGAATCGACGTGACAAACTAATAATAATTTCTAGTAGTTCCAGTTTTAGTACATACAATTAATTATCTCTATCTATTTCAGATAATACGTTGATCTGTTTCTAGTTTGGAAATTTACTCATGGCTCAGCTTCGTAGATACAAATTATGTCTTAGTTGTCTGTTGCAGCCTCACATGTCCACTTCACTAATTTACGGATGGAACTTTTTCGCTTCATGCTACAATTGTCGACAGTTTCATACCAAACATAAATTACTGCAAAAATTCTTCATATGCTTTGTGGAGTTTGTAAATTGGCAATTCTTTTTCTTACTACTTCTTTTGACAATACCTTTTGTAGCAGAAAACACGCCTTGTTTTGGCTGGTATTCAGTAGTAGACTATAACATTTTCGTCAGAATCGGCATTACAATAATATATTTGGCTACGTCGCTCACTTTTTCTGTAATAAAACGCAAAAAAATAAATCCGATAATCATATTAATGAAATCAGATAATTTGCCAATTGAAGATTTAAACAAGTCTATTCACAAAATTAGTGTCATCATGCGAATAATTCTGCTTTCTTCCACACGTGCACTGCCGATTTACAATATCTTTGTCACATATCCAGCATTAGATACAACTAACAAAAATGATTTTATGACTCTCTTCTGTATCGTGGAATTTGGGGTTTCGGTTAATTTTATTATTGGAGGAGTAATTCATTTTTTATTTTTTATTTTATTTTTATACTTGATTATGAAGAAAGCGTTTCAAAGAGTATCAAATGATTTAATTCTACTTAATACGAACAATTCAAATTTAAGTTTAAAATTAGAAGAGATAATGATGCAACATGCCGAACTTTGGAACTTCGTCAATCAAATCAACACAAAGTTTAGTTTATTACCTGTAATATTGTATTTCACGGTTCTATTAGAAACTAGCCTCGCATATTATATATTTATATACGCCGATATATTTATATATTTAAACACCATTATGAGATTCATCCTTCTCCTGTTTGTCATTTTACTTTCAATCGTATGTCTTATAATGGGTTACGCATGTTCAACATTTACGTCTACGGTATTTTATCATTTTTCTTTCCAAGTTATCGATCACTTGCTTTTACTATGTTTAATAAATTTTGGTGTTTTTCAGATGCAGACCTCGTTTCATGATATCCGAAGGTTTTCTGCATGCGATTTGTCGCTTGAACAGAAACTGAAAGTGAGTTTTAGATTATCTTTCATTTATTATAACACTTAATATCGAAATGCATCTTATTCTTTCAGATTCTAAACTTTATGAAGAGATTTGGAAAAGTGTCATTATGTATATCAGTAAGAGGATACTTCAATGTTACGAAAAAGTTTCCAGTTAAGGTATTTTTGCTTATTAAATTTTTTATCGGCAAATTCGTGTATTAATTTTTTTTTTTCACTTCATATATTGCATATGATTTATTTTATTTTAGATGGCCAACGCACTTCACTCTATATTTTCTGGTCTTCTGAAACTCAGCACCGCTGCTGCAAATTGAAAATTTCCTATTTAGGCGTATGCCAATGTTATAAAACACTCAGTGGAACCTCTATTATCTAGATCTTGGATTACTCGAGCGTCCTTATTATTTACATTAAACCTGTTAGTTACTTTGATTCATAAGGAAGAACTTTAAAATGGTAACACATATTATGCAATTTTTTGCTTCTGTCATAACTCACAATACATTGACAAAACAACAGATGATGACATCGAGATAAAAAAAAATTAATTTCTATTTATTTTAATTTTATCCAGTTTACAATTGTTTTTCTGGTTATATATTACTCAATTATCACTTAAAGAATTGTATAAAAAAATAATAATAATCTTTTTATAAAGTCGAATTATCTATAAATTATATAACTCAGAAAGTTTAATAGTCGCACAATTGATTTAATGGCATATGGCAATATAACACAAGGCAAAGTGTGAAGAAAACCCAAGAATCTCCACACGCCATTCCGTTGGTGAGAAGCGAACAGTGACCAACAGAAACGAGAACGTTAATTAAATTACAACTGCTACATACGACTTGAAATTGAACCCGGACAATCTACAAACACAAATATTTTTGGGATGAATTGTTCATTTTGGATTTATTGGGTGCTGTCCCCCATCATTCAGCTGCTGCATTGTGAACTTGGCTAAACCCAGCAAATTCTTGAATTAAGGCCCATAGGGTGGAAAAAGTATAAAAAGTNTAAAGAATTGTATAAAAAAATAATAATAATCTTTTTATAAAGTCGAATTATCTATAAATTATATAACTCAGAAAGTTTAATAGTCGCACAATTGATTTAATGGCATATGGCACTATAACACAAGGCAAAGTGTGAAGAAAACCCAAGAATCTCCACACACCATCCCGTTGGTGAGAAGCGAACGGTGACCAACAGAAACGAGAACGTTAATTAAATGACAACTGCTACATACGACTTGAAATTGAACCCGGACAATCTACAAACACAAATATTTTTGGGATGAATTGTTCATTTTGCATTTATTGTGTGCTGTCCCCCATCATTCAGCTGCTGCATTGTGAACTTGGCTAAACCCAGCAAATTCTTGAATTAAGGCCCATAGGGTGGAAAATGTATAAAAAGTTATACAATTCAAACTCACTAGTTGATGTACAATGAAAAATATGTTGTGGCACGAACTAGATTTACAACAACGAAGTCATATCTGTGTAAGATGACTCAACACTTAAAAATTAGAAATGGAAAAAAGCACCACTGTACACTGTATTTTGTACCACTTAACACTGCTATACATTTGATGCACTAGATAAGAGAGCGTGGATTCAGAAGAATTTAAAAAATCCCAGAATTTTTCGGGAGTGGTTGGTCTGTCTCGGATATGTCATGCAAAGGAATTGATGCAAGTAAAATATAATCAAATTTTCAGCTCAATATGAGAAACTGCACTTTGTAAGAATGAAATTTTATTACAGTAGAGACAAGTAGAGACATTATTGAATTAATGTACAGTACATAATTTTAAAAACTGTATATTTAAAATATAACTTTTAAAAAACTTATTCAACAGACTCATAACTGACTGTATTTCAAAGTGAATATCAACAATATTTCTATTATAGTTAAATATAAATGACTTTCAAGAGACATCATTGATATGAAAAGGTAATATTCATGATTTTTGCAAATATTTTCAGCATGATGAGCATTAAAATGTGTTTAAAATAGTATATATAATAATAGTAACTGTATATATATAATTTTTGGTGCATCATAAAAATAATGTTGTTCCTTCATGCAATTATGGATTTGGTAAAGAAGTGTTTGTTTCATCTGAAACAAAACTATCTTTTATATCTGAATGTGGAGTATTACTTATGAAATTCTTAAAAGCTGAATATAATTGCGCAGTTCTGTGAATTTCGTTCTTCTGTAATTGTCGCAATTCCACTTCTTTCTGTTCCAATTTTTCTTTAAGGCCTTGAATTTCATAGTCTTTGCATTTAATAGCATTTGATAATTTCTGCTGCATGCCTGTGAGAGAAAATTAATTTATTTAGTTATCTGCTATAAAAGAAGAAAACGAAAGTAAATTGAAAATAAACTTGCCATCCAGTTTCACATTTTTAGTTTCCAAATAATTAATTTTATTATAAAGAATTTTCTGATTTTCTTTTTCATTCATTAACTCCTTATGTTTCTCTTTATTTTCTTCTTCATAATTGGTGATTAACCTTCTTAATTCTGCATCTTTACATGCTATTTGCTGTAAATAAAACTTTGTAAATGAAAATTTGTATATATTTCTTTGTTGGATTCTTAGTGATGTATTTTTTGAAAATATTTTAAGAATGAAATATGAAATTCAAGAACTGAAAATCTAATTAATGCAATTGAAATAAGTCTTGAAATCTATAACCTTGCAATAAGATATAATGAAACCTCACCTTGTTATACACATTAAGCTTCATGGTTGAATCTCACATTATGCAAACTCTTAATTTTGGAACAAAATATTTTTAAATTGGTATTGTTAAATGTGAAAATTAAGCACAGTGGAGCATTGATTTCCGAAATCGACTATAGACAGTGCAAACTGTATGAAGTTTCCTATGTATTAATAATAACAATTAATGGCAATAGTCTGTAATCTCACTATAGAGCTACTGTATCTTGTTATCAACACTAGTATAAGGTTTATTTATTACAGTACAAATATAAAAGAACAATTAATGAGTCATGGGTTTCTAATGCTTAAAATGCTTCATTGATGCATTAGAAACAGTGTCAACTTGGTTATAAATGCAATCCGAAAGTAGATCTTTCAACTCTAGTGATGTTCAAGCAAGCTAGAGATTTAACAGTTTTGAAAATAAACAACTATGTTAAACAAAGCAAAATAAATGACTTTTAAAAATAATACCATTGTAATATTGTACTTTATTTAATATTAATTTTACTATTATGTATTTTTTAGCACAAATTTAAAAATTCTTCTTTGTACATTGCAATGAAAGACTAGTGCTTGTTTCTAATAAATTAGACAATTATTTTGTTATTTCTTATTATTTGCAGCAAAAGAAAATAAGTTTAATAATGATGATAACAATTTATTATCTCATAGATAACTATAATCAATGTGAATGGATTTTTTTTTCAATACTGCATTAAAAAACTGTTTCTTTATAAAATAAAATAAGTTACTTTTTCTAATTATAGTTCCAATTCACTACAAGTTAATATTATCATGTAATATTAAGCTACATCTTCCATGTAATAAAAATATAGGAAGGAAACATAACCAAGCACAAGTTATTAATATAATAAAAACAATATAATTTAGACTAAAAGTAAGTGATTAGACCACCATATTGTACTAAGTTTAGAAGTTATATTAATTTTTAAATATATCTAATATAATTTCAATCATTCTGAAAGTTTCTGTAATTATTAAAATTTGGTTCAAGACAGTAGTCTAATTGCCTAAGTTTATTTCAAATTGTATTTATATTAATTACCATAGCTAAGATTTAGCCTAAAAGTTAATTTATCACATGGCTGTCAACTGCCCCATTCCCAGTTCTCTGTCCCTCAGTCCTGCAAATACCATAATTTGTGCTGTAAACAGAAACTGTATTTTTGGTTTATCATGTTGTCAACAGTCCTCCCCTTCTAAAATTCTTAATTTCTGTACATGATTGTGTTTGTAAATTTCAAAAAGAAGCCGAGACTTGACTCCCTTGTTATTCCATAAGGAGGAAGTATAAGTATTGTATTTCTACACTTTCAACGAAGTATAAATGTCCTTGTATGGTTTTCAAAGAGAATTTTATAAACTATGTCCCTTAGAACAAAGTAGTTCCTCATTTCAGACCATGTTGTCCCTTACTGTAATAATATATATTTACATCACTAACAATAATTTGAACTTGTTGTTTATACGTATGTATTGCAGTTTGTATCGGCATGTAATCTTGAAATATACAGAAATGGAAACAGTAGTTACATTAACTGTAAATTGTTAAATACAGAGATAAAGCTGTGAATAGCAAAGCACATAAACAATAATATTAGTGGTTATATATTTTTTTTTACCTCTTTTAACTGATCAATAAGCTTTGACTGATTATCATTTTCCACTTGTAAATATTCTTTTGCTGATTGCAATTGTGCAATTTCAAATTTTTGCTGTGATATTATTTTCTACAAGAAAAATAATTTATATCTATTTAATTTGGAAATATACAAAATCTTGGATGTAAAATCTGATAAAGTCAAATTCACTTGCTTCTTGTAATCAAACAGACTTATTCAGAAATATTTTTTATCTGTAATTACATCATTTTCACCTTATGTGAAATGAATATTATAGAATAAGGTTACATATATGTACATATACTATTGACCAGGATACAATAATACCAATACCAAAATAAATGTTTTTTTAAAATTATAAAATAGCAAATATAATTAAAAGCATAATAATTGAGAAAAAAAAACTACACAAATAATAGCAGAAGACAATCCTGATTCTTCCCTCACACCACTTCCCCAGCTAAAACAAATTTTAATACTTCCACCACTAGTAAGAAGAGTGACCCATTCTCTATCTATATTGCCCAGCCTGAAGGATAAAAATAATTTCATATTCAAGTACTGTTAACAGTTAATTAATGGTGAACAATGTTCACCATTAATTAACTGTTGTTAAACAAAATGACAAGTGAAGAAATTGCTATATATATAACAGTTAGCATATATGATATGAAGATGGTCCAATTAAAAGCAGAATGTGTTGCGATTGAATAATTTGTTACATGAAGCATGAAGTTTTGTTCTTTATCTGATTTTATATCTACATAATAATTTTACAGTTTAAATATATAATTAGGTATATATATTTATATGTCATACTCACAAAATGATTATCATTTTCTTTCTGTAAAGAATGAAGTTTTACCAAAAGATGAGAACATTGTTCATTCTAGTAATTAAGAACAAATCTGTTAGTAACTTCATAGAAAGAATTACTAAATAACAGATTTTAAACCAAAAGTTTTTATTTTAACTAACCATATCCTTGTGAAGTTCTAATCTTTGTTGTTGCAATAAATCTTCTGTTTTGGTTTTCTCTTCTAATAATTTTCCATTTAATTTGATAATTTCCTACATTTATTAAATTTAAAATTTAATTGCAACTATAAAATTTTGTGAGTATACATATATCATACAGTTGACCACCCTATAACATGGTAGATACATTCTGTGTTATATGAATTCCGTGTTGTACGTGTAACTTAAATACATGAGCCCATCACAGCACGGCATGTGTGCAGTTTAGCAGCTACGGCTGTTTGAAAGGTTTTCCTCCATAAAATCAACTGATTCTAGAATAATTTAACTCTCAACATTTCCAAAACATGTATAATTTTATGGGAATAATCCATATAAACTACGCTATAAACAAAAAATTGTAGGACTACTTAACAAGTGCGAATCGTTTGAAGACTCCATTGTTTAAGCTTGTTTTCATCACAGAGCGGCTCGTCGGATGGTGGTCACGTATTTCCTGATAAGTTATTCTTTCTGTGAAAAATTTGCTGAACTTTGGAGACATCATTAATAGAAATGTAACTTTAATGGCCGTTGAATAATAAATGTTTTTTAGTAGGTCTGCTGCACGTTTAAACTGAACGGTTTATGCAATGTCCACTATTGATCCAGATTTGACCAATCCTGTCAAGACACGAGTTGGCCGTGACAATCTGTCTCAATCTTTTCCCGTGTTATACGAGCCTCTTTTAACGTGTTATACGAACACAATTGCAATTTTTCTGCCGTGTTATACGAATCTGTCTTATATGAACCCATGTTATAGGGGGGTCTACTGTATGTATACACACATATGTATATACAGTACATACATACCATTGTGAAGTAAAGTGAAGTGAAGTTTATAAATTTATTTAGCATATATATAATATTGATAAAATAATTTAAATACTAAATTTAAAACTTTAGCAATAAACCTTAAATTCAAAACTTTATTTGAAAATAATCATTATTAACATAAATTTGGAGAAGTAGAAGCAGAAAGAATGGAAGAATAATCGTTTATTACATAGGACAGATATGATTAAATATGTGCAAAGTGCATGAAGAAAATACCAGAAATCACAACTAAATAATAAAATGCAATATGTTGCAGTGACTGTCTGTGATAATGTGAGAAAGACCTTAAGAAGTAAATGAATATTTTAAAATAATAAATTATTTATTTAATATTCAATTTAAAAAAATTAATTTACATTTATGATTATAATTTCATTAGTAATAAATTTGAAATGTATTAAAACATAATTTATTAAGTTTTTAATGTGGAGTAGATCAAGAAATAAAAACATATATGGTATATTCTTGCTAATCTGACCCTTATTAATTTTGCTTCTCAATTATCCAGTAAAGTTCCCTTCACCTATGCACTTATATTTCCATGAGGATGTTGGTCGTGTCCACATCTTACTACTCGGATTTCAGTTTTATGTAAAGTATTGCGTGCCATTATGCCAAGATTTCCCAACATTCCTGCAAAAGAAGTCAGTACTAAAGGGCAACAGGTTGAGTCATTTGTTGCCATTACACAGGATTAATGCAGATAATATGGCACTCTTCTGTGCACATAAATACCAGATTAGCAAATATCTAGTGTACCAATGTCTTCAGATTATCACTCAACTTCAGGAAAACATGTAAACAACATAAAAAAGTAATATAAACTAAATATAATGTATAATGAGGCAGAAGTAAACAAGCTATTCTGTTTCTATAGAGATTTTAATTTCTGTGCATGTTTTCTGTTCTCCTAAAGATGGGTGGACATTTGAAAACATTAGAAATGTATTCTTTCATTATCTACTCCATGTGAACTTCATTTAGTTTACACTAGTTTACATTATTGATTATTATCTTCTCTATTTCTTATAATAGAGAGGTTGCGGCCGACGTTTTCATCGCAAAAACGTGTACGTCGGATGTTTAGTGCCGCCTTCCTGTAAGCCTAGAAGTTTGGCAATGGCATTTGGAATGTCAGTGGAATCATGCTCGACGTATCAAACGCCATTGTCAAACTTCTAGGCTTACAGGAAGGCGGCGCTAAATGTCCGACGTACACATTTTTGTGATGAAAACGTCGGCCACAATCTCTCTAATATTAAATTATTGTTCAAATATAGAATGAGTTTAATTATTAATTGTACTAGAATTAAAAATATTTAATAGCATTTGTTTATAATAAAATTCTTTCAGTCTATTTTTCAATTCTTTAAAACATACTTAGAATTAAATTCTGTTTAATTATAATTTATAAAGATGAATACAAATTAAACTTTAAACATCTATTTACATTATTCATTTAAAATTATTATTTCAAATTGAATCATTCATAATTTATCATCACTTTCTGAGTAAGGAATTTACAAATAAATATATTAAACTGTACATAAAAGAAAACAGTAGTTTGCATTGTACCTGTTTTAGTTGTGATTTCTCTTCTTCAAATCTACTTAGATTCTCATTTAATGATTTTTCTCTTTCTTCCATTTCTGTTTTTATTTTTAATATCTAAAATTGCATATAATAATATTACATTCTCCGACCAGTATATTTACTTACTAGTTGTTTTTTTAATAGTTTACTTCTTGTTGTTTCAAATATTTCATTTCTTTAATTAATTCTTTCTGTTCTTGTTTCATTGTTTCAATTTTTTCTGAAAAAGTTTGATACAGAATAATAATTAACTATTGAAAGAACCTTATCATCAATTTATGTTTTATAAATATAAAATTGTGATAACAACTGGTTCTTATATACAAAATATACAGTATACTGTGTTACATGAATGCTATTTAAAGGCAATGAACAAAGATGGAACTGATTAACTTCACTGTCAAATCAAACCAAAAGACTTAAAATAGAGTGAAGGGATTATTTGAAAAGTATTGGTTTCTCCACTCCCCTAGCAACAAATATGACTCTAGCCAGAGAGATTTAGAAATTAGAAAAGTTGAATTAATTAGATAAGAACTGAAAGTGAAATTTTTATAAAGAAACTAGTAGACCATGGCCATAATTATGGCAACCATTCTTTTTTTTGGGTCAGGCTATTCCTATAGCTCTGTAAAAGTAAGTGGACACTTGGAAGGACAGAGAGGATGGGAAAAATTGCATCAGTACGTGCACACTTGGTTGCACTGCAATGATGGATTAAGTGAAATTTAAAGCAAAAGAAGTGAAGACATTTTATTCAGTATGTATAATGTCTGTAAAGTTTAATGGTAGCGAGTTGACAACACTACACTAGAGAAATTAAAGTCATGTCTGCCTTGATAAAAAAAAAGAAGAGTGCAAATGATAGTGCACTCCTGAAATATCAGTTTTTTCAGTTAAAGTAAATTATTTAAAGTATATTATAGTGACAGCTGGAATAACTAAATTATTAAAACCATGGGTAAAATAAACCCATAGTTTTAATAATTTAGTTATTCCAGCTGTCACTATAATATACTTTAAATAATAGAAAATAAACCTACTTTTTCCACTCAAAAGGAGTACCTGTTGATTTGATCTCAACAGCAACCTTGTGCTAATTCTGAAGGAAATACAAGGAAATATCAGATTTAGACTGCTGGGCATAGTTTAGATTTAGACATCTGAGTTAGTGACTTCATCAGTTTGACTGGACACATAAAAATATTACCTCCTTCAGAATGAGACAGATTTCCTCCCATGTAATCCCATCCTCTCCCTTAGTCTATCCTGACTAGTATATGTCCATAACTTATAATGAAAGCAGAGTTTTTTCTTCACCTGATCTGTCACCTCTTCAGTTCACCCACCCAAATATGCATTTACTTTAATTCAAATTATACATAATGTATAGCTAAATATAGTAATTTATGTATGTTCACTGTTAAATAAACATAAAAAATAATTTATTATAATTTTAAATTGTCACCTTCATGTGTAATCTCTAATTGTTTTATTTGTTCTTCTAGAGATTCCACAGCATCTTGTAATTTTCCAATTTTTTTGGATTGTAACTCTTGAGTTTTCAGATTAGATTCTAACTAAATAAAAAATAAAATGAAAAATGTTAGAATTAAACAAAGTTAAGGATAAAATTTATTTAATTGTTTAAGATATAATTACTTGTAACTGTAAATATCTATTCTCTTCTTTTATTTCATCCATTTTGGAAACAACTTCTGATACAGAATCAAGCCTAAGCTTAATTAAAATAATAAAATTTTGGTTCATGTAATTTAAATTATGCTTTTGTCATTTTAATTACATTTAAAATATTCTTTAAAATTTATTTTTATTATTATTACTAATAAATCATATATCTAAAATGTTTTCTGATGATTTAATTTATTTTCTTTGTGTGTTAACATATATTCAGAGCTACTACAGAGAAATCTGAAATATGCTTGTATAGTAACAAGTGAATGAGCCACGTCTTTCATTTATTTTTATTTATGCCAAACAAATTTTATTACAGTTTACAGACTCATTCAAGCAAATAACTCTGAATATATGTTTGTAACCATACATGTGAGGAATTCAATTAGTTTGAAATATGGCTACATCAAAATTCAAAGTGTCCAAACCGTGATATGGTTATGTTAGCTTATTCGTTTAGATCAAAGTGCCTGCATGGTATAAGAAAACAAGAGACCAAAAACAACTCTAATCTGGTCAGTGCAGCTTTGCTTTTACAGTAACACATTTTTGGGTGTCATCTTACCCATCTTCTACCCTTTTTTTTTTCTTATCTCATAAAATACAGCTGGTTTTGGGTTTGCAAGATTGGACTACAAGTAGTAGATTGAGATGTTTGTAGGGCTGTATTTGGGTTACTTACAACTTTGTGGGCTACTTTAATAATAATTTGGGTTACATTTTGAGGAATTCTGGTTTATTTTTTGTAAAAGCTATCAAGCAACTGTGGTTTTTTGGGTTGTTGTTGCCTTTATCTTTCGTCGCTGCAAGTGGAAGAAACGAACAAGACGAGATCGTAACAAAACTAAACTTTTATTCTCATTCTCGCATACTAGGTACAGCACGTCTCGACGACGCGGCTAACAAAGACAACTGGTTTTTGACGGTCTTTGTGGGGTGAGTTCGAATTTATTCCAGGAAGTGATGACTCATACACCTGGAGGGTAATTGCTTGTATTTTACAACCATTAAGGGTACAGATAAGAAGGGCGGCGTTCGCCACACAACCTACGAGATTCTCACCCGACACATTCTGTTTACCTGCAGTTTATTTATAGTATTATTATTAATTAACAAAAATAGTCTTCTGTATATGTAGCTGTATTCCATTTGCTTAATAAGTTACATCAGTTATGTGGCATGTATTATATTGTACAGAAATATGTAAATCTCGGATAATTCTAAACTTGATAATTCCAAGTTGCGATTATTTTGTCCTTTGAATCTGAAACTAACAAGGATTTCCTGTATTTAACACTTTGTGCTAGGGATGGACTGGCAATCAAACTTGGCCAGAGAAATTACTTAATTAATTAAAAATGGCCCACAGACCCATTTTTGAAAATAATTATAGTCAAAATTTTGTTGTATTTTTCTTAATAATTCAATTAAAAATTAAAATGAATGCCATTTTTAGACTACTTTTATTTAATTTTACAAAATTACTGGTCCATGAGGATTGGAATAAAAAGAAAACTGGTCCACAAACACAAAATGTTTCGGAAGCACTGATATAATATACAGGTAAATAAATTCATTTTTTATAATTTGTGAAGTTGATCCAAAAAGTTCGCATAATTCTGTCTTCATATTTTGAAAATAATATGATGTTAATTGTTGTGGCAATAAAATTATTACTTCATTTACATACAGTATAATTACTCCTATTTAGTTTTATATAGGAGTAATTATATATAACATTCAGCAATAATTTTAAATAACTTATATTGAATAACATATACTAATTCAAATTTAATTCACAATTAAATTGAATTCAATTTACACTGTATTAAATTAAAATTATTAGCTATTTGAACACCATAACCTACTTTAGTTGCTTTATGAAGTTGTTCTTGATGTTCTTCTTTTAATTTTAAATTTTCTGCTTTCATTTCTGTCAACTGCTTATTACTTTCTTCTAATTTTCCATTAGATTCTTCTAGATTTTCTTGTAATTTATGTACTCTAATTATAAACATAATTTAATCTTTGTTAATATATTTGAAAATTCATAGTAAATATCAAGAATTGATTTGTTGTATGAACATCACAAAGCATGATGTATTTAATAATAAATAAATGTGAATGGTCATATCTAAAATTATATATGTCTGGAGGCAAAGAGTCAGATGGAGGTCCGGATAGCGTAATTGACAACACATCCACATGATAAACAAAAGTCGCGCATTCAAGTTCCACTCCAGGCCAATTCTTTTCTTCCAGAATATTCTAAATTATTTAGTAAATATTAATTTAATTATAATTATAAAATTTAATAGGCGATGGTGGTACCTAATGCTTTTCTCTAGCAGCGAATTACTTATTAGTTAATTATTAATAATAGCACAAGTAGTTGATTCATTACAGTAATCATTTGGATTATTATTGATTTCTTGGTGCAATTATTAAAGCAGTAAAGGACTGAAATACAAGTTTGAATTGAATCCTCAGAAATTTTAGTCAGTGGACTTTATACATTGGGTGCTATCTCTCATCATGTGAATGACCTCATTCATATCTATCGTGGTTTTCAAGGATGATCAATAAATAACCAGCCAATGAACATAGTGCTTCGAAGGCAATTTGCATGATGATGCAACCTGGTGGAAATTGAAAACTACAGCTGTAATATAGTTTCTAACCACAGAAAGGACTGGGCCTACAGAAATTCATTGATGTATAACAAACGTATGGACAACGCACAATAAGACTAGCTGAATGAAGGTATGGAAATTAGTTTTGTAAAGGGTTGGACAAATTGCAGGACAAAACAGCTTCCAAAATTGGCAGTCACACTAGTAAATGCAAAACAGATGGAACACCTTCCCACCAACAGATGAATAATGATCTATCAAATCAAATTTTCAGGGGAAATGAGTTTTTGTACTGTGTAGAAACTTTTTGCACTTGTGCCTGTATTTCTGAAAAGTCTGCACACAATGCCTGTCCCATAATCTATCAGAGTAACAAAATGCAAACTGGATAGCCTTACCATTTCAGAATCTGACTTATTATGGCAAAGAGGAAAATGCTTTTCCTGACTGAACTTCCCAACCTTGAATAAGGCACATGGAGTTGTTTAAATGGTCATCCTGTCTCCTTCTTGTTGTAAATTGAGCCAGTCATGAACAGCTTACATTCACCCTTCAATAATGTATTTTTGTTGTTGCACATGCTTTTTACAGAGTTTTGACATTCATGAGTCTATACACTGGCAATGAACTGTTATATCACATTGTAGATGTTTGTGCATCCATCTAAAGCAAATGATAAAATACAAAATTACAACCTTGGATAAACTTGAGACATGGTGCTTCCATAATAATCCAGAACCAAAGTGTGTGCAATAAAAGCATCGCTGATCCCATCCCAAAAAAAGTCAGGCCACAATAATGGGGATGACCCTCTTATTTGACTGCAAAGGGACAATTCAGTTTGAGTTCCTGGAGAAGGACAACACTATGAATAAAACTAAGTACTGCATCATGCTGTAAACCTTATAAAAAAAGATTTGAAGCAATATCCAGAACATTCAGCTGTCCTCTTGCTGCATTATACTTCATCCCTCCACATAGCCAAGATAATACTGTTATTAGAGTTTGGCTGTTAAAAGCATCAGCATCCTCTTACAATCCTGAACTGTTGCCCTGTGATTTATCTTTAATCATATCAAGAAAGAACAGTTTGAAATAGTCTGTCTTTCAGAATGTGAAAGGTAGACATTTTCAATTTGACCAAGAAGTTTGAAGTACCATCCATACTTGGGTTCACCATCGTCCTCCAACATTTTTTTCAATGTGAAATCATAAGACTTAGACTGCGTACACACTAGGCGTTTTTAAATGCGCATTTTAAAGAACCAAGAGTTCTACATAGGCGTACACACTGAAACGCGCGCTTTTGGCCAAGCGCACGTTAAACATGCGTTTATAGATTTTTCTTAAAATGTGCATTTTTCGGGCGCTTTAGTAGAACTCTTGGTTCTTTAAAACACGCGTTAAACGTGCATTTAAAAATGCCTAGTGTGTACGCAGCCTTATGGTATAATGGGATAAAGGCCCAATAACCATTGCAATTATACTTAAAGCCAAAATGAGCTCATTATGTTTTAATGTCATTGGCTGATTATTTATTGATCATCCCTTATAAACAGAAAGTTTTTTGTCCTAGGTCCTAAAAACAGATCAAATTCTTAAAGAATTACCTTTCTATCATAGACTCAAATGCTAGTTTCTTTTCATGCAACTCCTTTTCTAATCTTCTGANTAATACATAAGTATAACATAAACCAATAAATAAAATTTAAAAAATTTTTTAAATAAATGTACTTAATCTACAGCTATATAGTTGTTTACATTACAGAGATTATTTTTAAAACAAACCCACTAATGTCACTATAATGCATTAAAATAAATTTTAAACCAATTAAATACACTTTTATAAATAATATCAATTACTATCTACTTGGTCAGACTTTTCCATTATTTGTACAGTACTGTACAGTCTTTTTGGTTGGAATTGATCTGTTATTCTCTAATTACATTTATTACACACCGAGACTTTTCACATCTTTTTATCCTTTTTCCTGTTTTCTTACAAATATTTCCACAATATCTTATTTACATTTTTTAACAATTATTCAGGCATTGTTGCCATGTATATTCCAATTGTACACCAGTATTATCATTTAATCTCAACAATTCCTAACTGTTCACATAATTTATATCTTATTGGATTCCTTTAAATATACTTAATGAATCTTTTCGATTTCACAGTTATAGTTTATACAATGTTTAGTTACTGCTGAATTACGTAAATTATGTTTTATCGCATTTACATGCTCTTTAAATCTTATTTTTTGTTTACTTTCCGTTTCTCCTAAATGAAAATAGTTACAACTGCAAAAAAATTTATGTACAACATTGCTATTTTTCTGCTATATTTTTAATATTTATATTTAATGTAAACTTTCATCAACATAATGTTAATAAGCCAAGTACAGTCGACCCCCGTATAATTACGGTCCCTATAATTACAATTCCTATAAAACTACGAAAAAATTGCTACCAGTATCCGTAAAAAATAGTAAAAGTTCCCTATAAACACCTCAAACGTCATCGGGCAGCCGAACTACTTTCCCGCTGTCCGTAGCGCCACGCTACGGAGAAGAAAAACAAATTTTTTCTATAAATAATTACTTTGGAATAAAATAAAACTGATTTACAAGCCAAATTTAATGACATAATGAAAGTCAGAATCATCCAAAATATAAATTTAAATTAATATAGAAGATATACTGATTATATCTTTCTGACAAATATACATACACGTCCAAAACCTAAAGGACTGACAACATTTGTACATGAATAGAGATAACTGTAGATAATGGCAGACAAATACTGCAAGAACTGTATTACTCAGCATTTAACACAGAGTAATACATAACAACTCATAGGATTTTACAAATCAAAACAATAAAAACAAGTCTTTGGTGAAAAAAGATACATACAGCAGTCGGACATGAGTGGAAAAAGACTTTGTAATGTCATGGTGGGCTTGTTACCAAGACTTTTCTAGTTATGATGCTAGCAATTGTGTTCATCCTTAAGTTTTGGATATGTGTGTCTATTCTGATAACTTAACTTGATATAATAGAATACATATTGTGGCTTGCATGCCAGTCCCACAATGGAATGACCAGGTGGTGAGGGACGGGACCCGACACATCCGAAAGGACAACCCCTGAAAAACTCCTGGGGATTCCTTGACCCGTCCGGATTCAATCCTGGGTCCCCCAGAGCAGTAGGTGCCACCTTGACCACTCAGCCATCTGGCCGTCCATAGCTTGCATGCAGCTTTTGATAGGTAAATAGTATTAGCATACAGAGGACTGGATAAATATAAAAATTATGATGCATAAAATGTTAAAATTCAGCAAAATTTATTAAAAACGAAATATTTTCATGGCCATTATCAGATTCCAGAATATTTTTGATAGTGACAAATGTAATAACCATCTTCAAAGGACCATTAAATGATGATGATGTTGAAGATGGCTAAAAATATTTGTTCTCAGTAGCACACTCAAGATTTAATCTTTGGCAGTCAATTTGAACAGATAAAAAAAAGTTTGAATGGAACTCAATAAAATTTCAACCTTATGTGATTGCTAATTCATAAGTAATATATGAATAGAACACACAATACAATATAAATAAAAAAATTAATTTTAATAAGGAAAATATTTTGGAAAATCTACTAGTGTTTCTTTTCCTTTTACTTTTGGGGTGCCAGGACTCCTTGACCCAACTCCTGGGTGTGTCAGTGTTTATTCTTAATAAATTTTGAATTAATGTTATTCTTTTTGTCTTATTATTATTAATTAATTTTCTGAGCACTGTAAATAGCTCTTTTTAGAACTTATTACACACTATAGAGAACTCACTCAGACTGATGAAAATTAATTAACCACAGTATGCATTTCGAGCTGACAAGCTGTCCCTCTTCGGCCATTACAATCACTAAATTACAAGCATCTAAAAGGTAAAGGGCTTATTTTATAAACTGTTTTATAAAGTAGATAACATTTCTAAAAAGAAAGTAATCTAAATATACATAATCCATAATTGTAAATCCATATAACTTGTATCAACAAATTCCCATTAACCATTTGGTTATATAAAATATAAAAAATTTACATAATAATACATAAGTATAACACACATATGTATATACAGTACATACATACCATTGTGAAGTAAAGTGAAGTGAAGTTTATAAATTTATTTAGCATATATATAATATTGATAAAATAATTTAAATACTAAATTTAAAACTTTAGCAATAAACCTTAAATTCAAAACTTTATTTGAAAATAATCATTATTAACATAAATTTGGAGAAGTAGAAGCAGAAAGAATGGAAGAATAATCGTTTATTACATAGGACAGATATGATTAAATATGTGCAAAGTGCATGAAGAAAATACCAGAAATCACAACTAAATAATAAAATGCAATATGTTGCAGTGACTGTCTGTGATAATGTGAGAAAGACCTTAAGAAGTAAATGAATATTTTAAAATAATAAATTATTTATTTAATATTCAATTTAAAAAAATTAATTTACATTTATGATTATAATTTCATTAGTAATAAATTTGAAATGTATTAAAACATAATTTATTAAGTTTTTAATGTGGAGTAGATCAAGAAATAAAAACATATATGGTATATTCTTGCTAATCTGACCCTTATTAATTTTGCTTCTCAATTATCCAGTAAAGTTCCCTTCACCTATGCACTTATATTTCCATGAGGATGTTGGTCGTGTCCACATCTTACTACTCGGATTTCAGTTTTATGTAAAGTATTGCGTGCCATTATGCCAAGATTTCCCAACATTCCTGCAAAAGAAGTCAGTACTAAAGGGCAACAGGTTGAGTCATTTGTTGCCATTACACAGGATTAATGCAGATAATATGGCACTCTTCTGTGCACATAAATACCAGATTAGCAAATATCTAGTGTACCAATGTCTTCAGATTATCACTCAACTTCAGGAAAACATGTAAACAACATAAAAAAGTAATATAAACTAAATATAATGTATAATGAGGCAGAAGTAAACAAGCTATTCTGTTTCTATAGAGATTTTAATTTCTGTGCATGTTTTCTGTTCTCCTAAAGATGGGTGGACATTTGAAAACATTAGAAATGTATTCTTTCATTATCTACTCCATGTGAACTTCATTTAGTTTACACTAGTTTACATTATTGATTATTATCTTCTCTATTTCTTATAATAGAGAGGTTGCGGCCGACGTTTTCATCGCAAAAACGTGTACGTCGGATGTTTAGTGCCGCCTTCCTGTAAGCCTAGAAGTTTGGCAATGGCATTTGGAATGTCAGTGGAATCATGCTCGACGTATCAAACGCCATTGTCAAACTTCTAGGCTTACAGGAAGGCGGCGCTAAATGTCCGACGTACACATTTTTGTGATGAAAACGTCGGCCACAATCTCTCTAATATTAAATTATTGTTCAAATATAGAATGAGTTTAATTATTAATTGTACTAGAATTAAAAATATTTAATAGCATTTGTTTATAATAAAATTCTTTCAGTCTATTTTTCAATTCTTTAAAACATACTTAGAATTAAATTCTGTTTAATTATAATTTATAAAGATGAATACAAATTAAACTTTAAACATCTATTTACATTATTCATTTAAAATTATTATTTCAAATNGGAAATGTTAAGTCGGATTAGTCTAGAATCGATTAATTTGATGGAAGAAAATCTTTCAAACAGCCGTAGTCCGTAAACTTGATACGTGTCGGGTTGTGATTGGAAGGATTTGTAAGAAATCGGATTCCTAAAGAATGGAACGTATCTCTATCTTATAGGGGGGTCGACTGTATTTCTTGTTTATCCACTATTTCTCTATATCAATCATATAGATCTCTGCCAGTTTTGATCCTATGCAACTCCATGTGTAGATTCTCTCTGTTTAAAATATTCCCTACCCAACTCAAAGTAATTACTACTTAATACTAAATTAATTAACTGCATTAGCCAACCTGCACAGTGTTTTAGCTGAAGGGTATCCATAATTTTATTATGTGTTATTGAGGGATACGTGTTTTTTATATCTAATGGAAGCAATTCTACTGTAACATTGTTATGAATATTTATTAGTTGTAATTTTTTTAATAAGGCCAACTGTGCTACTAATACTAAACTGTGAATTATTTATTATCTTTAATTTTGTTTTATAAATAATTCTAGATTATATGTTAAGTAAAACTTTATATCTATTAACAGTCTATATTTTATCAGGTTTTTGTAAGTTTTCACTCTGAAGCTAAATTTTGGCATTCTATCAGCATCTTTTAGTATTTATTTAGTATCCTCATCCATAATTAATATTTCCTTTTTCAATTTATTTATAATTTTCTTCATATATTTTTATATTTTAGTTAATAGGTCCCCTGGGAGTTTCTCATAATTACCTTCATTAAGGATTTTTTGGATTATTTTGTTACATTGAAAGATATGTATGATAATTATTTGTCTAGTTTTATTGGCTTTTATTATTTTTTTAAATTATTACTATTGTGGTTTTTGGGTTGTGGTTGCTTTTATCTTTCGTCGCTGCGAGTGGAAGAAATGAACGAGACGAGATCGTAACAAAAACTAAACTTTTATTGTCCTTCTCGCATACTTGGTACAGCACGTCTCGACGACACGGCTAACAAAGACAACTGGTGGTCGACGGTCTTTGTGGGGTGAGTTTGAATTTATTCCAGGAAGTGATGACTCATGCACCCGGGGGTAATTGCTTGTATTTTACAACCGTTAAGGGTACAGATGTGAAAGGCGGCATTCGCCACACTATCAAGAAAATTCTTGATAAACTTTATGTCATTATTAAATAAATTAAATTGATTCACCAGAACCCCGATGAAGCAATATCATGCAATAAGGATACATAAGGAATGAGTATCCAGGATTGCTAATTGAAGATGTGATCCACTTTCACAATAATGCACATTCACACACAGCAAATACAAAAGTGTATTTTGCTTTTGCTGGAAAACAATGCATCAACCTTCATGTAGCCATGATTAGTCACTAGCTAATTTTCTTGTCTTCAAACCACTCAAAAAGGCTCTTAAAAGGAAAAGATTTGCAATGGATTATAAGCTGAAGCAAAACATATAAGACTGACTTGAAGCATATCAAACCAGAATGTATCAGTTAGTTACATATTAGGACACGTGTCTATATCATTTTATAAATCTATTAAAACTCATTCTGCTATTTCTGTTCTATTTTTCTGCTTGGCCAAGGTTCATTAGACAAAAGCAAACATTACACATATAACTTATGGAATAAGAAGATATACATAATATTTCAACTTTACTTACTTCCACTGAAAATCTTTTTCTAAGCTTGAAGATAGATATGTAACATGCTGAAATGTTAAGATTTCAAGATTAAATACCTTTATCAATAGCATACATTTAACCAGAAAAATAAAAATATTAAAAATACATAATAATAAATATAAACAAGAATTGATAAATAATGATTACTGTAAAATAAGATGGTCAGTCATAATTTCAATCATTATAGAAAGGGCTGATATGCAGCGGGGTTGACCAACATGAGTGAAGGATGCACAAACACTAACAACCTACATTAAATCATAGAGCTTGTGTAAGATTCAAATAGTTTCTCATGGCATTAGGAATGATATCTTAGCATGCAGCTATCTAACAAATGTAAACAAGAATGTCTAATCTATTAATTTTATATAGTTCACAATATAAATTTTACGTAAATTCAGTATGTGAAATTACAGCTAACTGTATTTTTATAGTAATAAACTATAGAAAATTTCCATTTGCAAATTGATTTAAAAACTGTTATGATTTATAGCAGAAAAATTTTCAGACGGCACTTTAATCTTTATTTTCACCATTAAATCAAACAATTATTCTAAGAAAGTAGTTCTCAAAGTGTGGTAAGTTGACCACTGATGGTCAGTGAACATGCATCGGGTAATCCACAGACTTGCCTAGTCACTTTTTCAAAATGCAATTCTATACTGTTCAGCCAGAGAAAGATTGTTTTGACACATCACCATTTCTTATATTATGTTATCATATAGACAAATATTTTGGCATATAACCTACCATTATGTAAGGTAATATTTACAGAATTAGAAATGAATGAGGACATAGATGTCTGCAGTTCATCTCTGATTTAGATTAAATTATTGTGGATAGATAATTTGAGAATCACTTTTCTAAGAAATAATACTACATTTCTTTGAATAAGACAATCACAACTTTTATATTTTTATTTTGCATGATTTTAAATTAATAAACTCTTATATTAAGCTCCAGGAGTATGGTAAACATTCAGATATTTTAGTTGTTTTAAAAATAAAGGTTTATAGTTTCATATCCTTTTTTCCTCTTATGATTGTTTAAAAGAATAAGTTTGCAAAATTACCAAATTTCATACAGAGTAACAATTTCTATATTCTGTAGAAACTCATGTTTTATAGACTTGCTTAGTTTAGATTTTTTGATGCTTTTAATAACATAACATTACAGAAGTGCCTCATACTTTGAATTTAATTCATTCAAGGAGGCCATTCAAACTCTGAATCGTTTGAAGTTAATCAATTTTTCCATTAGAAATAATAGAAAGTGAATTAATCCATTCGCAGATCCTAAACAATACAGAAGAACACTTCAAAACCTAGAATCCAGTTAAAAGAAAATAAATATTTATTGCAAAACGAACATTTTCAACCTTTACAAAAGCCATCTCAGGTTCTAATAGTAGAACAAAAACGAACAACAGATTTTCTGTAGAATCTGTTGTTATTCCATACATTCAGTTTAAAGTAGTGTTTCTACATTAAACAATATCCATTTAATAAACTTAAACAGTGAATACATGTAATTTAGGTAAAAAGAACAAAGATAAATGCCATGAATAATAAACTAAAAGATGAAAACAATAAATAAAACATGTAAGTATTGTGTAATAAATTGAAAATTTCATTTACTGGTTGCACACTGCAACTTTAGCATCTTGAACATGGCTGCTAGATTTGCCACATACGTACCACTTTCATTCTTTGTGATGAGTTTATTTTTTATCTCAATTGTTGATACTACAACCTCCTTAAGTTTTGTTGATTCCACACTCTTCTTGGATGCCATGGTTGATAGGAGTTATATATATAAACAAATAATGCAAGATGCTTTCACAGAAAGAAAAAAAGATGGCTTGAATGAACAATAGATGTTTTACAATTTGTTAAATGTTTGTGTACGAGGACTAAGCTTACTAATAGGACGTATTGCACTGGTGTTTTGGCTTTTGCAACCGAGGAAAAACTTATTCAGAGGAACAGACAATCTTTATTTTCACCTTATACCTGTACACTCTATATACAAGTGAAAATAATAGTATAATACAAGGTGAAATAAAGATTGTTTGTCCCTCTGAATAAGTTTTTTCCTTAGTTGCAAAAACCAAAACATCAGTGCAATACATCCTATTAATAAACTTAGTCTTTGTAGAAAAACATTTAACAAATTGTAGAAAATAAAGACATAGAGACATATGAATTAAGAACAATAGATGTGTTTACGCAGCAAACACATTTTTTTCACTGTGCATGTAATTTGAATGTCAAAAGATTGTCCAAACTGTGGCTCAAATTTAGCATTGTTCTGAACTATGGAACATTCATAGTTAGGGTTGCTCAAAGTATGAGGTACTACTGTACTTCAGACATTAGATATTTTATGCATTATGTTTGGTGACAAGCAACAATGCTTCGTAGGATTTAGGAAATTATTTATATATACTAGTATCTAGATTGATTCTAACAAAGCAGTTTTTGTTGAGTCTCTTAAATTAATGATTAAATTTTTAAAGATTTGAAATAATTTGTTTCTAACCAGCTAAAGTGTTTGTAACCAGAATAATATCATAATCCACAGAACAATTTAGACAACTAAATCAGAATGGCAGACTTTTTCATTAAAAATATACCGAAATTTTTCAAAGGATTATCTCTGCTAAGAATAATAACTTAAGTTTTGTCTTCTGTAGTCTGTTTTAATCAGGGAAAAAAGAACAAATTGAATGAATTGTTGTTTGTCTCCTGCTTAAAACAGACTACGTAAGATGAGACTTAAGTTATTAATCTAAGCAGAGATAATCCTTTGAAAAATCTCCACATATATTTAATATGATAATCATAGTATTTTATAGTAATCTGATTTGGGTACAGAAACATTAATCCTTCTTACCTATTAAAATAATTCAACAAGTTCATTAAAAAACGTTTTTGAAACATGATATAGCTTTGAATATTTATCAAAATACAACATATTTTATATTTATCAATATAATTCAATTTACTTGTTTGACATTCTGAACATTTATATTGGTAGTTCTCGATTTATCCATCATTAACATTTTTCTTCTAAGTTCATCTTCTTCTAACAGTTGCAAAGTGCAATTGTTTGTGAGGACGGCAGCTGAAATAAAAAGAAAGTAATCTTTAAATGTAAATATATTCTTAAGTAATATATTAATATAAAATATAAAAATTTTGTTTCTCTTTCATTAACTGTAAAATTAGCAATTATTCTCAAATTATTAAATATCTGTCTTTTATTCACATGAAATTAGAACATAGTTGTATGTTGTCTGTCCTTCCTTAATCTCAAGAACAGAGTTAGATAGAAGAAAGTCAGGACCACTTATGGAAAGCTTACGTGCAGAATGCCCCAATTAACTGTACACGAACTTCTGGTTTAGACCACAAGTTATGTTATTTCAATTCAAAAACTTTCCCCTGTACATAGTTAGATAAATGATCGGCATGGCTTTATTGCTAACAGGTAAAGTGTGATGTATAGCGGCAATACACTACTAAAAAAAATTGAGAACACTGACAAAAAATTGCAGTCAAGAATTGTGTTGATATCAATAAATAATTGCTTGTATGAGTGATAAAAGTTTTTTTCTTGCTACTTTGGGCATACTATTCAATATTTGATTTAATTTTGAAATATGTAGCTTTAAGAAATTTTTTTAATTAATTAATTTTTAATTTAACCAAAACGTAAAAGTACAGATATTTAGAAAAATCCTAAAATCTCTATGTCCTGTATATTTATAGATTTTAATAGTACCTCAAATGTTGATAGTCAAAATGAAAGTAAACCGTGTGCTTTGCCTTATAGAATTAAAGTTAGTAACAGCTATTAGTAGAAAACATATTATTCATTATGGAAAACATACACACTTCCTTCTAATCATAGGCAGATGAAATTTGTTCAAGCAGTGTGAGAAATGTATGAATATAAAAGGACCAGTGATTCTAGAAATGTCCTGATTTCCCATCCATCCCTGCTTGTAACAGCTGTGATAAATATCTATCTGCTAATTTAAGACACAGATCTGAAGCTGGATTGAATCCTCAGAAATTTCTTAATGTCTGTAATGCCAGATAATCAAAAATGGAATCTAATTCCTCACTATTTGATTGCACAATTGAAGACTTGGATGAACTTTGTGATACAGAATTTTTCTTTTCCATCAAAAGCAAAAGACATTGAATATATTCTGTTTAATTAATCAAGTATATGAATAACAACATAGAATAGAACAAATTTTTAACGGAAAATTGCAATTATAATCAGCCATTAACCCCAAAATGAATACTTAAAATAGCTAGAAACATTAACTATTCATTTAAATCATGTATCAAACAACACATCCTACATAAGAAAATATTTATACAAAGATTTTATATTTAATTTATTCTTTAAACTGAAATTTAAATGATAAACTTTATTTTAATAAAAAGATTTTAAACATTTTATAATAGAAACACATACGCTTACCTATCGTTTCCAGAATACTATTTGCCATATCAGGATTACCAGATAAATCCAAATTTAAAAGTGTTTTATTGTACTGTTTTAGTACACTTAACAATGAATCCGCTCCTAGATTATTGATCTGATTCCATCGTACATCTAAAATAAAATAAATAGAAGTAATTTAAAATGTTAAATGCAATAAAGTGTTTTAATTAATAGAAAAATTTTACCTAAAGATTGTAATGAAATGTTTTTAGAAAGAGCACTAGCAAGTGCCACTGCACCTTCATTGTTGATCTCATTATTTCTCAAATCCAGGATCTATTTTATATAAAAATTGATCAGTGACGTGCTTTTGAAATTTAACATAACATAAAATTTAATATTAAATTTATATGCTCAAATATAATTGAAATTTAAAAATATCAAAACTGTTCTAAACTCCAATTACTATTACGATAAAGTATGCGCTGAATAAAGAAACTTTAATTATGACCACCCTGTATAATTCCACTAATCTAAACTTTTCGTTAATTCAAATAACCCTCGATAATGATCAGTTTGGACTAGCAATAGCACACTAATAACGTCAAATATTAAAAATCAATATTATTTACCTTTAATGTTTTATTTGTAGCTAATCCTGAACAGAATAATGTAAAGGAATCGTGACATTTTCCTAAAGAATTCCATTCTAGTGATAAACTAGAGTTGTAAAAAATATTACATTAGTATTAAAAACTTAATTTAAAAATTATTAAATATAAGCTTTAATTATATTAAAATGTAGCATCCTTATAACATCCTATGATAAATTTTTATATATAAACATCTCAAAAGCAAAATAATTATATTAAAGCCAAATGATTACTGGATTAGTGGTAATGTAGTCTGATTTAATGCAGTAATCATTTGACTTTAACTTATTTTTATGAAATAAAATTAATAAACTGCTATGCCAAATCTATTGCTAAAGATTGCACCAAGGTATCGCATGTAAAATTATTCTCACTCATTAGAAACAATACAATGAGTGAGAATAATAGGAAACTTGTTAAAATATTTAATTTAACTTTATTTCAACTTACAGAAAATACTAAAACTGGTATCCTTGTGCATCTATGCACCATTGTGTATGTGTAACCATGTTCGACCTGACCTTAAATAAGTGTAAGTTACATACAAGAAAACCCAGATAAAGAGAACCAAGTGATTTCAGTCTAAACTGTAGAAATAAGCTCTCAAAATATAGCTTTTGTATTGTTTAAAAAGGGACGAAGCCTTACATTTGTGACTGGTCTTATTTCATCTAATCTCTTTCACACATGGATGACAGATGGTTGAGCAGTTAAAGTGGCAACCTACTGGTCTGAAAGACCCAGGATGTAATCTAAATAGGTCAAAAACCCCATGAATTTTTCAACAGGATAGTCTGTCTGGATATATCTGAACAGACTACCCTGTTAAAGCAAATTAAAATTACAGATTTTTCATTCAAAATGTTATTTTCATTTGTTTCATTTGCCTAAGAGATCTTTAAAAATTTAAACTATTTATATAGTAACTTTTAATTTAATCTATAAAACAAAACACAGCAACAGTCTTTTGAGTTCATTTAGAGCACTATCAACAAAGGCAGCAAACACCTGGTTTATAAGAAAGTAGAATAGGACAAGAAAGAAGAAAAATTGTACAATCAATTCTCATTAAAGAAAATCAGGTAAAAGGCACAAAACAACTGTAAATTTCAATATTCTAAAATTCATGGAAAATATGAGACAACATGCATGATTGCTTGAATAAAGAAAATATCAAACAATGGTGTTTACACTTAAAAATTCTGACATTTTGTATGATGTCTCCAATTTTTTAACCGAGGTAGAGTGAAACCATGTTGTATAAATGCCATGTGTTAAAGAGATACTTGTATTGATAAATTTTTATGATCTGGGAATTGATAAAATTAGTCATTAATATACTCTAAGTTAAATTTCTCTCTAATTAACAATTGAGATAGACAATGTCTTTATTTTGTGATCATTTTAATTTCTAAAGCAATAATATATATATATAATTTTCACGTATTAAACAAATAATCAGATAAAATATATTGATTTTTGAAAGGAAGAAAAGGAAGGAGAAAAGAAGTGATAAAGAAAGGAATATTCTTTGCATTGAGTATTTGTTCTTTATTCACTTCTTTCCTTCTAATAAGCATTAGTTAAATAAAACGTTGAGTGACAGATACAATTTGCTGAAGTTTCTAGATAAGAGAGATTTGTCAACTGTATGGAAAAGATCATCTGTTAAATGTTATGCATATTGTGATCTGCTGTTCCTTTTTTCTAATTTGAGAAAATAAATTTTTTGGATTGATATTACGTCATTGGTTTGAGTGGACTGGTTGTTTACATTATTTTCATTTTGGAAAATTATTGGGGACATTGCTTTCTTCACGATAAATTTGTAAAATTAGTTTGGGAATCTATAGACTTATCTAGATGGCAAGCAGATAAGTAAGCACATATAAACATCTCTCAAAAACTGATTCATTAGTATAAAGACACACCAACTACTATATAAGATCGGGCTATTTTCCAGCAATTATAATCACCGGGAAAATAGTCCAATCTTATGCAGCAGTTTGCTGTGGCTTTATGCTAAGTAAGAAAGCCAATGAAATAGTTTCATATAATGGACTCTGTCATGGTATGCTTACTTAGCTGCTTGCGATCTAAACTAGGGATGAGTAACCATTTCAAGTGTGCATGCCAAAACTGTCAGATCTTAAAGTAAAATTTTCACTTGTGCCAACTGAGATTTTTGGGAGCATATTATTATTTATATCAGTTTAAATAATGAAAAATCTATACACACACTTTAAAGACCTGGTAAATTCTTTATAAAACATGAATACATAAAATGATGGTAATGAAATCACTTGATGTCTGGCTGAAAGCAAATAACACAACAATTGAATGGGATAAAACTTATATGTCAGTATATCACAGAGATAGATGTCTTCAAAATAAAATATTTGTTTTAGTTTTTTATTTCTAATTATTGCTAAAACAGTTGCTAAAGTACTTTTTGTCTGTTTATTATACTTTTATTTATTATTACTCTACTCAACAAAATTATTTTCTATTAAGTTAAAATATACTGCTCAGTAAAGATGTTGGATATTTATTTTTTAAGATAAACTCTGGGTTGCGTGCTGGTAAAAAATTATTGGCATTCCATTTTTGGCATGCATGACAAGAGTTTCCCACCCGACCCGTACTGACCTATGTATGAGAAAACCAACTGGATAGACAAATCATAACAGTAATAAATACCATATTCAACAATATGCAAAAATTTATTAGTATTATCTCTCTCTAAGTTAATGCTAAATAATTTACAGTTATTAATATATTTTTATTGTTTAATTATGTAACAATATATTTCATTTTTATGTTTGTATTATTGCTATTTTGGTTTTGTAATTAGTACTTTATTATAATTATATTGTAACTCTCTGATAATTGTATCCTCGCGTTGAGAGTTTTGTATCTAGAATGCTAAATAAATAAATAATAATCTGATATAATTATTTACCGATATAATACATTGTTGTCTCTTAATAATTTACCAATATCGTCAGCACTTTTTCCTCGTAAATTGTTACCCTGTAATCAAAGTAACAGATTTAAAATAAGGAACTAAGATTAAAAATATTAGTATTAAGTCTAAAATACTAAAAGTATATGAAATTTATAATAGTTAAAACCCTAACATACCTTAAGATTTAGAAATCTTACTGCTTTATTAATACAAAGACCATCCAAAATAGCTTTTAATCCTAATTACATGTATAATTTATGAAGTTATTAATTATCATTATTATGTTAACACTTGTATTAAATTCAAACAAAATTTACCTTTATATGGTAGCATACAATTACAAAAATAAAGGTCAGTTACAGTAGCATTTTGCTCTAATACTTTACCAAGAACTATACAAATGGATACGGATAAATTACAAGATGATAAATCCAGAGATATTCTGTCATCCTCAACACTGTAAAATATTTATATTTAAAATACAAATTTTAAAATAATAAGAAGAAAATTTAAAAACATATGACAATTTTTAGCATTTAATATTTTTGTTATTGACCAATTCTAATTAGAAACAATACTAAAGATCTATTGAATCCATATTACATGTTAAACAGATGGTAATAAGATAATATCAATTAAGAAATGATTTATACAGGGCTGTGGAGTTGCGTAAAAATCTACTGACTCCGACTCTGACTCTTCCTTATCATCCGACTCCGACTCCGGCTAAAACACCAAAACTCCACGACTCCGACTCCGACTCCACAGCCCTGGATTTATATAAATCTGAGATTTCAAACTTATTCACTATTGACCTGAACAAGTCAACTGATCTATTTAGGAGTTGCAAAATTAGAAGGCCATTTAAGAGTTGGTACAAAAGTTCCTTTTCTTACACTTTAAAATGTAATGAAATTAATAATGTATAATAATAATTGATACAGTTTTAAAGTTTATTAATGAAAAATACATTATTTAATATATGTTTAATAAAAAAAAAATTAAGAATAATTCCTATTTCATCCTGTTTGTAATTTATTCTTATTTTGCTTCAACATAAAAAAGAGGCAGCAAATTAAATTTAAAAATGGGTCAACAAATAAACAGTAATTGAACCTTCGATTTCTACATTGAGTTACATGAAGCCCTTCTAGATCCTTATTGCAGCTATTCATATTATATATATACACTCTATATATAAATACTGATCTAGTATAGAATGTGGTTCTCACATTTTCTTATATGAAATATATTGCTCCTATCATGACAAGGTTTGACTACCCATTATGTTAAGATAGAAAAATCAGAAAATATATTTTGGTATATTTATTCCAAAATGTCTCCTATTTCTTAAATTTGAAATAATGAACTTGGATTTATATTTGTATATATATTTTTTTCATCGCAATAATCATTAATAAATTATGTTATAATGTAATGTTATGTAAGAAAGTACTATATTCTGAATGCCTTTTTTATTGAATTAACATAATTATTTTAAACTTTTAAATACAAATTTAGATTATTATTATTATTATTATTAATGATTCTCCAAAAGAAAATTTAAATTAATTAAAATAATTCAATGAACTTAATTCTATATCCTTTTTTATTTTATTTTTTCTTGATTAGACATGTCTACATTAGGCTGAAATTTTTCTCACAGGTAAACATTAACTAAGGGCTAACCTTATTAGTCCTGTAATTAAAGTTCTGTTAAGATTAAACTTAATTATAATACTTAAAAGTTCAAAATTCCTGAAAAATTCAACAGTTAACTGATACTAAATGTTTAATTATAATACATAACCCATTTTGTTCCTTATGGACATCACACAATACCTTTAAAAGCATATTTAACTCAATGTTTTGCAAATAGAAAAGAATAATACACCCTCACTAATAAAATCTGCAAAGGCTAAAAGATATTGGGCAGCAATTGAAAAAAGGCTTTAAGAATTAAGATTTTTGAATTATTTAACTTTTATTTCAATACTTACAACTCCCATATCTACCCTAGTAAAAATATCATTTGAAATCATGCACAGTTAAAACATGATTTCAAATGATATGACATGATATCAGTTGTTGAGAAATGATATGACACAACATTTGATGTCATGTTGTGCTTGATATCAATTGGAAACACTTGTCTCATCTGTTAAAAGTTTTTTATAGTTTTGATTTTCAAATGTTTGATATCAACTAATGTCAAATGATATCACATAATTGACATCAAATGCCACTTGATCTCATGTTCACAAGCTTTAGAAATTAGCTTGAAAAACATTTTACTGCTAATTAGTAGACATCCATTAACCGCACGTACACTTTTTGAGCCATCTTTGGCCACTTCCTTCAATGTTGTGTACATTGATGTACAGTACTTTTCACAACACTCCTTCCTCCCTTAAACTGTACACTTAATTAATGGATGCTCCCATTTGACTTCTATAAAACCATTTAGCATTATTATCTCATTTAAAATTAGAATGAAATCATATACAAATGATATGAAGTGATATCAAGTCTGAATTTTGAACAGATTAAAAATGACATGACTTGATATCACTTATAATCATTTCATCAGTTGATATCAAGTGATATCATGTCTCATCATCTAGTCATTTGAAACTGTTCAAAAATTACTTCAGACATGCTATCATTTAAAAATGAAGAAATTATATTTTTACTTTGGTAATGGTTAAATTCCAGTTACGTGGACTGTTGTGGTGGCTCCAGCAAACAAAAGAAAACAGTGGGGACGCCCGTTCTAACCTAACCTAACCTATTCTAATAATTTAATTGGTAATAATTATGGTAATTTATTAGAATAGGTTAGGTTAGGTTAGAACGTGCATCCCCACTGTTTCCTTCCTTTTTTTTGCTGGAATCAGAGATGAGCCGCCATGACAGTCCACATAACTGGAATTTAACCTCAGTACCCAACTATCACATGATACAGGATTCAAAGATTTAAATTAAAGTGCAACAGTAATAAAACACTGCTTTATTCAGTCCTTTTTAAATATTGATATTTTCAAATTTCAAAAAATAAGAATTACTCTACAATACAGAATGTATAAACATAAATAAACTTACCATTTCAAGTAATCTAGAACAAAATCTTGTCGAAGAACTTTATGTTTTTGACATAACTGTTTAAATAACTCTTTAAAATCGTCCATTTTGTAGTAAAACAATCTTTTATAATCTTATACTTAAGAATAGACTACAAACTAATTACTTGCAGATGATCTGTTTGTAAAATATTTTAATGTCATATTCTTTCTGTATGTAATAATTTAATATAGTTTTTTTTTTTTCTTGTGCCATTAAACATTATATTTCAATATAAGTTAAGTGTCAGAAATCATAAATACCCTTTCATCCCCGTGATCATTGTTTGTTTACTTACGAAGCACATGGCAACGAATATCGTGCTGCCATCTGCACAAAATCTACACTCTAAATAATTGGAATAAGTTTATTTGAAATATATTAAAATTATCAAATAATAACAAAACGTATAATGTAATTCACAAAAATTTATTTATGATATTAATTTATAAAAATTTATATTTTCGGAACCTTTTTTGGTTGGATGGCCGAGCGATCAAAGCGCTCTGGGTAACACAGGATCGAATCCGAACGGGTCGAGAAATCCCCAAAAAATTTTTGGGGTTGGTCCGTCTGAATATGTCGGGCCTCGTCCCTTACCATCCGGTTGCCCCATTGTAGGCCTGGCCGAATCCATAATAGGCATGCTAAAAGAAGCCCTCTTAGTGCCCAAAGGGCGGAAAAAGTTTAAGAAAAAATAAATTATTTTCGCTTTGAATCCTGGTTTGAAAGGTTTGAATTCTGGCGGAAATCTTTAAACTTTTCATTTAATCAATAATTCAGGTTGGACTACATTTCTCTATTCTAGGTCTAGGAAGCTAGACTACAGTGAAGATCAGGTACTTCTGTAATAAACAAATTCAAACCAATCTAGTAGGGTATGTATATTGATACCATAGCATCGCTGTAGTCGTGCCAAAGGCGGATGCCCGGTACATTTTTAAAGCAAAGACGAAGCCCTTGTACTTTGTGAATACATAGGCTCCGTTGAACTTTAGACTATGTACTTTGGCCTAAAAACAGATTATTTCTTGCACCATATTTTGCGCAGTTTACGAATATCTAGCTCATTTTCCGTGCGTTTTGAAGATATTGCACCACAAAATTGCGCGTTGTCCATACAAAACTCCACAGACGATGGTATCTCCGTAAGCAGTTGCGATTCAAACTTGGGGGTCTGTTAGCTTCTGGTACAGTACGTTACAATTAATGACTACATCTCTGTACCATAGATAGTATTTTTAATTAGTAGTGGCACCCCTAACTTGATCATTTGTTTCTCGTGGCACCTCTACTTTTTTTATTAATGTAGGATTATTGGGCTTTTCATATTTTTAGTAATACACATAAAAATGTCATAGCGCTACTATATTTTGCATTACTCTTCAAGTGTTGTAGCAGCATCCTAGTGTGCCACGACACTGAGATTGAAACCGTTGCCATAAGAAAACATTTAATTCATGTTTCATTAACTTGATTCTTTAGATATTGAAAATTAAATAAATAACATTATGTTAATTTAAGCATACAGAAACGTTGCTGTTGTTCCAGCAAAGATCTTATTTCCACTTTACTGAGTGCCTAGTAGGTAATTTGAGAAATGGAATAATTTTCGCAGCTTTAACGGATCACCCTAGTTAATCTGCAGATTAGCTAGGTAATGTGCACATTAACGGATTTCGAGCTATAGCGGTAACATATATATATTATAGTAACTATAGAAACTTTCTCTAAACTCCACATTTGAAATTTAATTAATGAAGTCTCTCCGGATTTACTTCAAACATTACACAAGTTCATATTTGAACTCAGAAATAGTGTTAATATTTTTTTTATTTACTTTGTTTTACAAGGTAGATTAAACTATGGGCCAGACTTTCAACAGATGGACAATGTACAAAATTGCTACTGAAAATCTATCTGGCATTCAGTAGATTTCTTGTAATACAAAACCTTTTATGACAGCCTATATGGGTTGTCATAAGAGGTTTTGTATATGGTACGGGAAAACAAAGGGGCAAATATGGTATATTGCTGCTCATGTTTGAATCAGCAACCTTAGAAATTTTTCAAGGGAGGTCTGTACTCAATATATTGAATGCATCCTTCCTTACCCTAGCCAGTCTCGTAATGTGCCTGGATAAAAGATCTTGGCACCAACATTACAAAGTTGCCATTTATAATGAAATACAAATTGGAATAAATCTTTTTACAGTTTCCTATCCATGAAACATTAAATTGGGTACAATAGAAATTAATATGATTTTCATAAGTAAAACATGGACTATTTCACAAAGGTGTAATGCTGATTAGCAGTGATGTCATTGCGTTACCATGAAACGTGCCGATATCCTTGAGCCCGTGCGATTGCTAGTGAGATCTTTCTTTTTTCTTTGTGTCAATAAATCGATTTGCCTTTATTTGTTTCAATGAATATATTTTTTTAAATAACAAACTGCAACAAATACATTAATAATAAAACTCTTCCAACTTGAATTTTATAGCTGAATCTATCTGAATAAAAACTGTGTACAAGGGTGTGGTTCTTGTAAATTCTGTTCTGTTTACTTATGCAAATTAACTAATGTATTTGTTATATGCAGTATTTTCCTATACTCAGCATCTGTATATCAAAACACCAGGATAGGCTGGATTAAAAAGCTTAGAAAGTGTCAAGGATGTCTAGAAGATGCTTCGAGTCAAAGCTTGATGCTTGTTTACACATTGATATTTAGAATATTCTGGAAGGACTCCGAGGACCAAAGACTAAACATCTATAAAAGAGTGGTTGTCATCAGCCACGTGACTTTTTTGACGGGACGTACTCAAAGATAAGGCAGAAAGCTACCTCTGCCTTCCTGCTCGGCATTGGTGTGTGTCTCTCTTAGTTGGACCCGGCTGCAACACTCTGACGGGAAATCTCATCGAGATCACCTGCAGCACAGATCACCAAGCCTCCCCACCACGACAAGGTGGAGACACAACGGGGAGGAGTACCCCCTGCCTTGTTAGCATACTGCCCATCTGACCCACTGCCCGACACCGACCAGGAGAAAAGACACAGAGAAAGAAAGTTGAAGAGAAAGAAGAGAATGTTAAAGAAAGGAGAGAGAGGCGGGGGAGAGAAATCTCTAGAGGCGGGGGG